CCTTGCTCGCTCCATCACTGCCCACTCAGTGAGCTTATGAAAAACAGCTTCAAGTTTAGCACCATTTCCACGTGTTAAAAAAAGCTGCCCAAAAGGTAGTTACTACATCTGGCATATGCAATTCCACTGATCCTCCAGTCTCAGAGAAATTCCTCTGAGCTACTAAGGAGTTTTTCAACACTACAACTGTTTATGTTGACTGCATACTTTGGTCATTATTTCTAGTTTCAGAGAGCAGCGTTAAGTTCTGTTTGTCTAATAAAACTGCTAATAAAGATGGAAGCAACGTACCTATTAAAAAGCTCATTTCCCAAGATAAACAGAGCTAAACAAAAGCTGATTTTATATTGTGTCCCCATGTTTTGGGTCATTTAAAACAGTTGATTTTACCAACATCTCAGTTTCAGACTACAGACGAACACTACCTACATTTCTATTCTTAAATAATATCTCTTCAGCAATAAGACATGCATTCTTCTTTAAATGAACAGCTATTTTATGAATGGCAGATCCTGAAACAAAGCCTGTCACTTGACACACACCCCTGGCCTATGATAGATTATGAACTCTGAAGACAACTAGCATATGTAAGGCACTAGGACTTAAGACAACTTCTAGTAACTTATATCTTTACTGGTAATGTATCAACATGCCCAATGGTCAACAGTACACTGCAGGTTTCTCTGAACTAACTAGTAGTAACTAGATCAGAAGCTGCGCTCTGGTCCTCCTCAGAGCAGTGTCCTGTCACTGGCAATCTCAGATCATTTAAAGTCCCTGAACCTGGGCCATCATTGCTGTGACGTGAAATACAGGGAAACTGTTCGCTCAGTGTTAGAATTTGGTTCAAAAAGTCATGTTTACTTGTTCAGGGCACCGCAGCCAGATTTATTTGCTTATCACCAGAACTGCGAGAACTTGTTGCTTTTAATGAAAGCACAGCCTGTGTGGTCTCCGGAGTTGCTCTAGTTTTTGAGATTTAATCCACTAGATCAGATGCACATGTAGCGGTAGCAGAGGAAGCTCTTTAACACCTAGAAGTATTATTTAAATCAACTTCAGACAGATTAGATATTAGCAATATTACAGCAGTTGCCTGGAGCTGGTCTTGTATTCATCTCCTGCACTCAAACTGTACCAATATCAGATTATGACGTTGTTAAAAAAACACAACAAAAAACGTTTTCAATTTGCACTAACTGGTTGGCTAAATAGCACAAATGTGCCATCCCATCCGCTCAAGGAATGGTTAAACCCTAGAGGAAGTAGTTTTGACTGAAGATATTAAAATGTAGGAAGCAAAACTTCAAAGGGGCAGGTTCCACTATTTCTTAGAGCACTTTTTATCTCCAGGCAGAATTTGGGAGAATTTCAGGCACTCACATACTTAAGAGGCACAAAAGCTATTGGCAGGCCAACTGCTCTAAGTGTCACAACACAATGAAAAGCAGTTGTAGAATACAAGATATTATTTTTTGTATTTAATAACTACAGTAAAGCTTTAACATACAGGATTTTAAGCCCTTTCTTTAGTGATTGCCAGCACATCCCATCTTCCCAACACCACTTAATACCAAAAGGTCTATTGTTCAAAGTTTAAAGAAAGAAAGGATAGAAAAACTAAGAATACTAAATATAAACCTATTCCCATTAGTGCTGCAAACGTGCCGAGAGCTTGATTATGGAGACATGTCCAGAACATGACCTCAGATGAATTTGGCCCATCCTGAGTGTTATGTGAAAGGTGAAACGTGTTACTGTACAACCTATTCCTACCAGCTACATAATATTTAGAAAGCCTTTAAGTGACCTCTTTTCAGGAAATCTGACAATATGGCCAAGGGACAAAAACCTCAGAATTTTAGCTTTCCAGTTGGGGTGGTTAATTTTTGTTAGTTAGCCTTTTCAAAACAAATGGCTGGAAGAAAGTTCGTCATTTCCATATGGCATGAACAACTTATTAGCAGCGCTCTATTTGCCTGAGGATCTTGTCCCTGCCCCAAAACAAGAAGGTTCACGAGCTGCAGAGGTGCTGAGAACTTCCTTGTGTAAAGCAAAGCTGTTTAGGTATTTAAACTTTTCCTCCTGTTTAATTAACTTGTAAATCCATGTAATTAAGCATCTGAGCACACAGGCACTATTTTAATCCAACACTCCAAAAGTTTTCTACTGTTCACACACTTTGGAATTCCTAATTAATTTTTTTAAATCAACATAATTCGAGCCAAGAACGTGCTTTTCATTAAGGTCTATTCACAAGCTTAGTAAGTTTTAGCTATTCCCTTCTTCTCAGAAGTGAAAAAAAAAAAAAAAAAGTAATTTCTTCCCCAAAAAAGCAGCTTTGATAGTTAGGTGGAGATTGACCGCAGAGGTTCTCAGGCTGCAATTTTTCCAAGACTTAAGGGTTGAGCTAGAACCTGCTCTCTCAATCGACTTTCACACTGTAGAGCTGATGACAGTGGCTATGGCACACCTGGGAGCACGGCACCATCAGAATAACTGGGATGCAGATACCACCATCACCAGCACTTGCTTCCTTTTTTGAGAAGTTTAAACGAAGCCAGTACAAGCTGTTCTTCATATTCACAGGTCTCATGAAAACATTAGGAAACCACATGTGCAGCTTGTCAATTTTTACTACAGACAAGTATCACATCATGAGAAAGTCCTCAAAATGCAGGATTTATGCACCAGATGCAAACCTTTATGGTGTAGACACCTCCCTATTCTCTTTATAGCCAATGGACAGAAGCAGGCAGACAGCAATTCATTTTCTCCCAAAGTACATGTCCTGTCAAATGAATCACAACTCAAATTATGCCCACCTCTCTCTCTTCTGGTTGTAAGTGGAACATGCTCTCACAAAAACTATCTTTGGAAAGAGTTCACAGTCTAGTTACTCAAGCCTGGACTCCTGGAGGTGGCAAACCAGACTGCTTGGTAGGAGAAAAAAAAGACACCTGACAAAGAGACTAGAGATGATTCTGAAAGAAATAAACACTGCTACCAGTCTTTTAAGCTAGATAATGAAATAAGCAGCAGTAGAAAAAGTGCACCTGTAAAAAAGCAGAGTTAATGTGAGAAGGAATAAAAAAGGATTCTGGACTACACAAAGGACTTTGTCTCCAATTCCAAAGAACTTTTCTACCTAGGAAGGAAACAGGCAAAAATACCACCTAGGTATGGTCACAAATTATAACTCCTAACTATTGCTGGAACTAGACAATGCAATATATATTCCTTGATAAATTATGTAGAATCCACTGAAGTATAATCAGCAGTGGGCCTGGTGCTGAGGCCTGAGAAAAACCTGTTCCTTTTAGGACAAAGTAAAAAGAAAGGAGGATGTCTTAGCTCAGAGGCAGAGCTAAACAGGAGCTACACCCAACGGCATGCCTAGAAACTGTAAGAGACAGTGCCTGGACTCTCACCTTCCCAAGACTGAGCAAAGCACATGTCTCCAGTAATCAGGTTTCAAACCAGCATTGGTGAGTATCCAGCAAGGGGAGCTTTATCAAAGCCAACACCATCATTTCTTGTCAGCTCTATGACAGACAGGCAGATGTTTTCAGAAAAACCACAGCTCAGAATAGACAGGGTTAGACAGGGCTCTAGTTGGTCAAGTTCATGACCAGCTGGTGTAACAGTGAGTGCCTTTTCTGAAGCATGCTTCATGCTACAAAGAAGTGCAAAGGAAATGTAGGGGGGGGGGGGGGG